GCAGCATTGAGGGTATGAGCTTCTTCACTGTCACTGATGACGGGACTTGTCAATGCAGGCGACTGCGGGCGGGCGAGGACGGGGCTCGACGCGCCCGAGGAGTTGTTCCTGCTTATGCCGGGGTATCCAAGCGCGTTTGGGCTGTCTGAGCGGAAGGCGGGTGGTCCCCGAGCGAACCGGTCATTCAGGTTGGTAGCAGAACGTGCCTGAGATATGGGAATCGGTGGCGTTGATCGTCCGGTCGGCGCACGTGCGCGCTGTATGGAGTTGAGACGGTTCATAGCTGAGGACTGTTGCTCTTGGATTTGCTGGTCCAGCCCTTGGTCGTAGAGTCTCCGTTTCGTCGTCGACCGGCCTAGATCTGGAGATGTCATCGGGGCACCTGCTGGGGGAAACGCCGGCGAGGAGGCTGATACAGAGTTGGTGCCCTGTGACGCTATCGAAGTCGCGGCTGTGGATGTGCGGGTGTTCAATGTGCCTGAGTTGGTGGATGACGAAGTCTCCCTCTTACGGCTGAGCTCAGTAGGGCTGGACGGCTCAGAGTTCTGGCCGTCTTCATAATCCGACTGCTGCCTCAGCCTGTCCTTCTCCTCTTGTCTAAGCCGTTGGTATGCTGACATATTAACGTCGTCGTCGTAGAGTGTCCGTCCAGTGCCCTTCGCGTTTGTATTAGAGATCATGTAGATCTTTTGTCGTCCACCGAACAAGACGTTACCCTCGCCGGGTCTAGCTCTGCTCATAACGCTACCAGAGCCGTCGTCATCTCTACTGCTGTCGAAGGAATTGGTCCGTTCGCTTGCGAAGGGCGGTCGGATGGAGCCATTGAGCGAAGAGACTTCAGCTATATCGGAAAGACCTCCTGGAACGAAGCCGAACTCGTGGAGCCGCGATTGGCGTTTCGGTTGTAGTACACTGTCGTCGCTGGCCTTGCCAATCTTGGAGTCTGGGTCGTCCTGCTCTCTCAACATGCTGAAGCGGGTGGACAGGCCAGGCATGATTAGACTTGTCCGGAAGTCATCTGCTTTGGGCAGTGCGAAGTTGAGATCGAACTCCGGTTTGGGCTCTTCCTGACCCTTCTTGCCCTTCTTCGTCTTCTTTGGGGCGGCGGCCGCGTCCTCGGCGCCATCCTTCTTTCTGTTCAACCAGCGGTTCATGATGGTCTGGCAGTTATTAGCAAACGTATAAGTACGCCGCATTGCATCCGGAGTGGGCGAGAGGCAATGGGAGGGCGCCTTGGCAATGGGGATGGGGAGTGTAGTCTTACTGGCGAAAGTGATTAGACTGGATTATAGCGACGACTGTGCGCTGACCAATCTCGACTGTCGTGTCGCTGGGGTGAGCGGGCAGGCGCACTCGAGCGAGGAGTGGGGAAGGTGAGAGCAAGGCGACTCGGGGTGGGAGGAAAGAGCAAACGCGAACATGTAGCGGGGCCAAAAACAACAATGGGGCAGTCACGGGCGGTCTTTTTCGAAAGTGTGTCCTAGGCACAGTGGAAAGTAATGTCGGCAAGAGGCGAAGGAGGGAGCGAGCTGGAGGTGAAAAGGAAGGCGTGCAGCGATTGCAGGCGGGATCGGGCGCGCTCGACTCTGGATGGCTCGGTTGGCGGCAAAAAGTACAAAACAATAGATTATGGCAAAGGTTAAGGAGCGTGTGTAGCTGGCAGCAAACAGGTGAAGGAGTGAATGCACGCGCGCTGCGGAGTGCTGGCGTGGTGGTAGAAAAGAATGCAGAGAGCAGATCTCCCGACCGAAAAGAGGCTTCGAGGAGCGGGTCGACGTGGGTATGCACTCTTTGGGCCTCTGGGGGAGTGACAAGCACTCGCACATGGGACAAGGATCAATTTCCACTAGCCTCATTTCCGCGTCGCGCATGGGCGTCGCGGTGCAGGGAGCAGAGAAGCCATAGAGCGCGGGCCAATATCCGCTCGATAGGCTGACTGAGGTCGGACGGCCACTTGCAGTATTGCGCCGCTGAGCCCAAACCCGCGCCGTCCCAGGGGATGCGGGCGACTGGCAGCGCGACAGAGTCGACGACGATGAGTCGACGCGATCCAACGGCATTTGCTAGCGCCCTCTGCTGCCTCGCCGCTGCCTCGCAGCTCGTCAGACGTGCTCCTTCCGCGTCACACGTCGCTCCTGCCTCGTCACTCGCGTCGCAGAGTCATGCCTTCCTTTTGCAATAACAAACTTTGCCTCCCCCCACAGTCTGAAAACCACGACGCACGACCTTATGATAGCCCTTGGCCCGCCCTTTGCAGCTGCCGCAACGACAAAAAGTATCATGAACACTGCGAGGGACATCGCGCTCCACTAGCACCCCGCCCAATCAGCGCCCTGCCCTGAGCGGTACCTTGCAGGCGTCGGGAGGGGCTGGTCCATCCCTGCATCCTCGATATCACCGCGCCCGCGACTTGCTTTTCTCGTCGCGCCACGACGCATCGTCAGCTTTGCCTCTCCGCCCGTCAGCGCTGCAGCGTCGACTCCGTCTTCTGCCCAATCACTTACCTCACACATGGGTAGCCAAAGTATGCGGGGAGACGATCCAGAAGTACCAAACGCCCATCGCGTACCTGAAGCCGCTAACCTCGGGACGTACAGTGAAGCGAGCGAATCACCCAGCTCCCTAGTCATGGTCCCGGTGGCCTTTCGCTGTGTTCCCCTGGCCTAACCGCCTGGCGCTGTCATACCTCCCCTTTCCATGTACTACGGTAAGCGCAAAACTATGCTCCAACACTCCGAAGTTCCAACATGTACTCTTGATCGACTCTCGAGGAGCAGGATTCAATTGGTCTTGTGTTTTCGCGATACGGGGCCCGGCCAGACTCGCATCCGGAGACCTGGTCCAACTGTCGTGTCATCTCCCGCGTGGCCGTCTGTCTACCGTCAGGCCGCCCCTGGCAGCTGATCCGAACGGCCATCCTTCCCCTTCTGTTCGGAACGTTGGACTCGCATCGGCAGACTAAATGCCGGCAGAGTGAGTTCCTCGCCGTCGGCGAATAAGGCCAGCCGGCTGTGCTGTATTTCAGTCATTGCTGAGCTTACTGCAGATACCTGCATCTTCTTCCTGCATACGCAACCGCCACAGTCAGTCCGAGAGCTTCTGCATACTAAGTTCTCAGCAAGTTTCAACCTGGATTCCGAAATGAATAGCCCGGGCTGGACCTAATCGATTGCATCGGTGCCACGAGGTAAGCAAATTACCCCTCACCCGCCGCCTGCCGTTGTACGCTGTGGATGATCATCTCCAGCCCGTCCGCGAAATTGCTGTAGGATCGGCGCCACTCCAGCCCTGTGAGACAGCAGTATCTTATTCGCTAACACCGTCCCGTCATACGCGACAGGGACGCGCCCACGGTATTTACATGTATCCTCTCCAGCGCCATGTTGATAGACGCCCACGCGCTGGTACTTTTGCCCACCACCTGATCAGGTTTCAGATCTGGCCCAGGCACCGCCCTGCTAACCGACCCCACGATTGTTTCATGCTTCCGTACACATGTCCGACGAACGCCTCACTGCGGTCCGAGCAGCCACACATACTCTTGCAAGCTCCACTACCCAAGCATCATCGCTGCAAACCAGCACTGCGGTTATTGTGACAGCGGGTCAGGTTTATCAGGCTGTGGCCTGTCGAATGTAACGACAAACTCCAAAATCTCACCCTTCCGCATTTCTTTGAAAACTTGAACCCTTGACGAGTTTCCATATATACATAGAGTTCGTCTGAGGGGTAAGCAGTATGATCAGTCATCCGGACCTCCAGACCTGCAAGGAACGCTGCAACTCTCGTTGGCGTCGTCGACGTCACCATCATCTTACGTATTCTCCAGTCACGAAAAACCGTTTGCTGCCAAGAAGACGCGCGAAATTGACAATGCAAATTCTGCTCTGGTTCTAAGGCTCCGGCAGCATCTCGCGATCGATCCGTAGATAAATCGAAACTTCGAAAGTATATCCTTGCCGCGGAGACCGAGATGACAAAGCTGTTTAATTTCCGCCGATCATCCGGACAACACCCTTCGCTGAGCAGGGTCTTGCTGTGCCAGTGCGGAGACCTTGATTGATCACAATCTAAGTAACGCGCTCTTGTGTGTGATGATCACATGGCGTGACCGATGACAAACTGATGCCCAGAGTCCGCCGAGAGGGGTTCGGGTTATCCGGATCATAGCAGTCTACTCTATCATTCCTGTGCGGTTGAGAACTTCAAGAAAGAACGATCTCCAAGCTACGTGTATACGCTCCCGACTTCCGCTCTTTAAGCTTGCACACCGACTTCTACTTCAATTCGCAAATTTCACACAATTACGATACTGACCTCTCGTACGGGTTTACCAAGTTGCTTCACTGGCGGTGACCTGGGATACGGACTGTCCGCGATGTATGAGGATTCCATGTTCAGTCATCTCTGTAGCCATAGCTGCCTACCACGTTGAAGGAGAAAGCGCTGCCGCACTGTGATCTCAATACCTCGAAGTCGAATCCAAGAATTGCGGCTACCTTGTGCTGACAGCTTTCATGATATGTCTAACTCGAACATGACGAGCAAGGATTGTTCTGATGTCCTGATCTTTGAAGCTTTGTATAGTTCACACACGAGTATAACGAGCACCAATACAATGAAGAAGCCTAATACTCTGTAGTCTACATTGGCATGAAAGCCAAATTTGGCAAGTTCTTAACGCAATGCAAGCTTCTGGAACACTTGTCGCTATCCTTCACTGGTAGTGGGTGTTCAATCGCTTTGCTGGGATGGGGCGTGAGAAACAACGGGTATCAGCAATCATCCCTTTCGCATCGGCTTGTGTGGAATTACGTCACTACACACTCTCACTCTCACCTTCACTACCACGTTGACAGTTTTTCGCTTGCTGGGCTTCGTTCACTTACGAAGTCTTGGAGCGCCCGCTTTCCTAAAGAAATTACCCTCGCGTTACTCACTAATGCGCCTTCCACTTCCTAACTTCACCTTTACACGTCACCCATTCTGCACCTAGTCAGATGTTGTTCGGTTCTCTCCTGCAACTCGCAGCGCTTGCGACTGCAGCTGTGATCAAGCATAAACCGGATTCCGACTATGTCTTCTCCTGCGATACTCCCATTCCCCCTCTCCCCAACGGGACCATGGTCACGAGCTGGGCGCAGTATCTCGACGAGACTGGCGAAGATCTCGATTCGGGCGGTCAGGGTGCTGTCGATCACTTTGGTGGCCCTGCCGGTAAAGCTCCGATGAAATGGCCTCGTAACTCAGAGAACTTGGCTAAGATCCCTTACTGCTATTATAACGAGCATGATCGCGATGCGACCCACGAGGTCATCGAGGCCGCTATCAAGTCGTGGATGAGGTGCGTGTACATCCAGTACGACCATCGATTGATCATTGACAATGAGATCTTAGTTACCTTGGTCCTCCTGGAAAGGAATCCGGTCACGCCATCAGTTTCGAAGAGCTCTTGGATAAGGGAGAGCCAGTATACTGTTACGAGCCGCATCCGAACGATCCAGAACCCGACTTCCCTTGGTTTTATAACAAACATCTCACTAACGAGATCGTAACGATCATGGTGAGCAAGGGAGCGACCGGTTGGGGAGCTGGTGTAGGTCTACGGGCTGACCAGTCGTTTCCCTGGGGAAACATGCTTTACGTCCCGGATACCGGTGATCTTGTGAACGTGGAGTGGGCGGCTATGCACGAGCTTGGTCATGTCATGGGTGAGTAGCCATGTTCGATTAGGCCGCTGACGAAGGTGCTGACGAAAGCCAGGTATGGCGCATGAACACCAGCGTGGTGACAGAGACAACTATATTGTTGTCAAGCCCGAGTTGTTGGACGATTTCGAACAGGTTAGTATATACCGCCAGAACATGACCAACCATTTCTGACTCAGAATAGTGTTACGAGCGCGCCCATGCAAAGAACTCTCGAGTCACCAAAGAAAATGTATGCGCCTCCCTGCGATATTCACTTCGGAACCAGTGCATGTGCAGAGAGATCATCAAAGGCATGGCCGAATTCTATCTCCCCCTCTTTGCCTTCGACAAATACGACCTCGATAGCATCATGCATTATCCAAGTGCCCTTGGTGGTACACAGAAATGCCAACTGTACAGCGGTGAGGAGGACACTGCTGATTGTCCTATCCAAGTTTACAAGAACTTTGAGGACCATAGCCAAGGGACTACAAAGATCACGCCGAACTTGCATCCGTCTGCGCAGGATATAGCGTGGGTTAAGAAGGTCTACGCTTGGGATGAGAAGGGTGGAACGCCAGATGCGGCAAAGTCATCAACTGCCGTCGCGACGTCATCGGCCGCTGTATAAAGCTTCGAGCTGTTACGTGGGGGCGGCGATGGAAGATTGCTGGACAGGCAGAGAGACCAAGGTAATTTAGATGCTTCGTAAAACACGTCCGATAGTCGATCATGCCTGCATATTGTCAAAGCCAAAGTTTGACGATCTCAACCTTTGGATGACACAATGGACCTTAGTGGGGGTGGCACGGCAGGCACCAAGGCAGGGACGTCATGGCGGGCATTCTCCGCATCCTCGCCTACCCTATCTTAACGTTTCTTTTCCTTGATACGTGCGATGATCTCTTCCTCCGTCCTGTTTTGTCAATAATGCGGATCTCAGCGCAAAAACGAGCCTTCAATGTACTCTGCAGGACAGACTCGTTGGAATGCGCTGTGCGGTTGCAAGCCTCTTATTGGTCTTCTGCATCGCTCACCGGTTTTTCACAGCCTCCTCCACTACACATTGGCTGGACCTCGCAAGGCTGAGCCCGAGAACCAGTATATAATCTCGTATATCTAAGGCATCGCGGAACGATCTATTACCAACTCATTGGACTTGCCACAATGAATGCATTCGTGAAATCATGCGAAGCCTTCCTCCACTATCCGACCAATTTTCTAGGGTCGGACGTACGTACCCATACCCTGCAAGCATATCATACTAGATTGAAGCACCAGGCAGATCGCCTGTTCGTGGATGAAAAGGATGCTGCTGTGAGCTTCCTGGATCTTCCCAACAGTGCGACAGGTAGGTCGATTGAGTCTGTCATTGCCGTGACTGAGATACGACCACTGAAATCCCCTAGATACCTCTGCAAAAACCTGGAACAGCCTTAGTGATGTCAAGCAGCAGCTGGGAGAAGCCTTCCAAAGCGAGCACAAGAAAAATGGGTCTCGTTTCATGTAAGCCAGATCAACCAACAAGGAGAACATGTCTTAACCTTAACTAGATATCTACACGCTGAACATGATCGAGCACCCTTAAAATCGACATTAGATATGCTCATGTTCATATTCACCTACCATCAAGTCATGCCGTTGTTTCTGGATTTCGTCTTCTCGTTCGGTCGCCAGCTACATCAGCAAGGCCTCCGTTTCAGCCGATTCAAAGATGAGAAGGGCTTACCTGCGTGGTGGGCGAGCACACTAACAAAGCACTCTGTTCAAACGCAGGAAGAAATAAGGGTTTGCTACAACCTATGGTCTGCCGAAAGACTGCCAGTAAATCATGCGTTTCCTTGGTGTATCCGGCAGACTGCAGTCTACCATACTTTCGACCAAGATACTGGCAAGACCTTATGGATTATATTGAAGGATTCCGCAAGTCTGGAAAGTGAACTTCACAAAGCTCATATTTCTGTGTCGTCCTCAGGTGCTGGGATCGTCATCGACAGCTGGCGTGCAGCTCTTTCGGTACACTCGGTAATCTTCGACTGGTCAGGCGAGAATTGGCGCTGGTATCTAAACGATATGGAAGAGAGAGCTGAGGTGCTGACAGAAAAGATACTTCGCACGCGCTTCAGTCATGAGCTGAAACCCCGTTCCTTTCATCCTCCAACCAGAGAATACGCAGTCACGAAAGACACTTCAGGAAATCAGCGAGATCATCCAGAAATTTTGTTACACTCTGAACCGGATCCCCACTCAGACCTAACATTCAGCGATCTCCAGCAAATTCACTTTCTGGAAGAGAAAGTGCAAGAAGCTCTACTGGTGGCGCAAATGAACATCCAGGTCCTGGATTCGCTTGCTAAATACCAGCATGATCGCATGCCATCGATAGCTATGAACTCGTATTTAAAGCTTACCCCCCATACCCAAGAGGCGTTATACCATCCATGCGAAGACGAAGTGATTCGGGACTTCAAAACATCGCAAACCCAGCTGAAATCGCTGTTGCATTTACTTGAGAACCGGAAACATCTAGTACGTACTTCAAAAGCCGTATGCAAACACCCAGCTACAGATGGAGTGGTTTTGACCTCGTTGTCTACCAAGAGGAGTTACACATACGATTACGGTGACTGACAGAGACGCTACAGCTCAAAGACATCCTCCAGTACCGAAGCGTCAAAGCCAACGAGGACACAGCAACCAAGACGAGGCAGGAAGCCACATCTATGAAGGTCATTACATCGGTGACCCTGTTCTTCTTGCCAGCGACCTTCATTGCAGTAAGCTAATCCCCCATTCAAAGCTCCCACCACCAAATTTCATCACCAGCTAACTCCCACTAGACCTTCATGAGCACCAACATCGTCTCCTACGAAAACGGCAACAGTAACATCGAGACGGGCGGATTGAAGACCTATCTCGCCATCACATTGCCCTTGACGGCACTCACGTTTCTGGCTTGGTATGTCATCTACAGGTACGCTAGGGAAACGGGTTTCTCGCGCAGCCGAGATAGGCATGGGGGTGAGAATGGTCAGCAGTTTGTGTGAGCTCAGTGTATGGCGGGATTTCATGCGGTGATCGTGGGGGTTGAACATCACCACAGAGGAATAGTGGTAATGATTAAACGACTTCATAATGTACAGTCATACTTATATCATGCACCATCAGCCCTACGCCAGCAATGCTTTTCCTCCCATATCATCATCACCATCATCTCTCATCCATCTCAGTTATTCCTCTTACTCTTCTCCTTCCCCTTCTTCGCCTTCTTCCCTTTTCCCCCCTTCCCCTCCCCATCGTCCTCACTCGCCCTCTTCCCATTCCCCTTCCCATTCGCAGCCGGCTCCAACGCCGCATCCGTATCCTGTTCCTTAACCAGCAACTCATTTAGCGCATCATTAAAGTTCTCCATCTCGCATATCTCGCCAATCTTGACGCGCATGTAGTCGAATGCAATAGCGACCTTCATATCCTTGTTGCGCACCTTGATGACGCGGGCGTTTTCCTGGAGCGAGGACGAGGCTTCCTTGGGGAGAGAGGGTATGGGTTTTGCGGGGCCGGGAGCGGGGGCTGTGGAAGAGGGGATGGAGGGGTGCATGTCCATGTTGTCTGCGTTTTCGGTTGTGGGGTCGACTTCGGCGTCGTCGTCTTCCATGGGCACGTCTTCGGCGACTACTTCGGGTTTGAGCAGAGGGTCTTCTTCCTCGCCGTCTGTGACGGTTTGGAGGACGGGGATCTTTTGGTAGCGCTGGCTGAAATGAGTGAGGACGACGGATTTCGCGTTCATCGCCGCGCCGATACCGAGTGCTTCGGAAGTGGTGGAGTGTTTCTTGGCCTTCGCGTCGCCCTGTAGTTCATCGTCGAAAGTTGCTTCGTGGATGAGGACTGTGGTGTCTACTCCGATCTTGGCGAAGTGGCCGCTTGGTCTGCAATCGCCTGAGTAACTGACCTTGAGTGGTTTGATTTGTTCAAGGTCTGCTGGGTCGCGTGGAAATGTGATCGAAACAGCCATGGCACCGTGGCAATGCGCTACTCTGGAAGCTTGAATTTCATTGAAACCAAATAGTGTCTCATACTGTTCCTTCGGTATGGCCGCGTTCTCAGATAGTGTCTTCCCGAATGAGTTTAATATAGACAACCTCGAGCCGTTCTTGTATTCGTTAGGAGTGATCTGAAGAGGAAGAATTCGACTGTAGCCAAAGTCCTCGATGGCTGAGTATTCGTTAAGCCATTGGAGCATACCGCTGTGGGATATGACGGCAAGACCGTATGCGCTAGGGTCTATGTTGCTCGCGGAAGGGTCCAGGGGCTGGGAGTTTGGAACAGCATTGTGTGCTACTTGGTACCAAGCACGAATCACTGCTGCTGTGCCTAAGTGGTGATCGGCATGCAAGTGACTGATCCAGATCATACGCAGGTTCTTGAAGATATCGACAAGCTCTTCGTGGGGGAAGACCCTTGAAAGCTGACCCAATGTGTTCTCTCCGCAATCTAAGAGGTAGTTGCCGATGCCAGGAACACGCACCAACGTGGAAGATACATTACGGTACTTGGACGGTAGGGCAGAACCTGTTCCGAGCGTCGTTACCTCAGTGTCACGACGCGCTAGTAGCTTACCCCATATCTGCATCTCTCTGCTTTTGCTTTTGATCTCTGCTTGAGCCTTTTTGGCCAATTCGAGAACCTCAGGCGGGGTTGTAAGTTCCACCTCGTTGGGCACGAAGTGACTAGATATGGTATTTTTCTTTGTGGCAAACTGTGGCATGAGATTAAAGCCAAAGCCTCGGTCAGCGCGGATGGCTTCGGAGGGCAACGACGACGCTGTCGACATGCCAGTCCTGTATATACTTGTCTGCGGTACGGTAGTGTTGTCGAAAACGGGTGTGCGATATCTTGAAGGATCAATCTGTCCAAGTCGCGTAGCTTGTCCTGCTACCGAGTCGTTTGCGATGCGATTCGGCGCAGTATCTAGAGACGATATTACGTGTTCTACGTTGTCCATCTTGTTCATGAAATTAAGTAGATCCGGGTGACCTATGACGCCTGGACCAAGCATCCAAACGATAGCTCGAATGTCAGTCATAACCTCTGGAGAGCTAAGCTCTTCGCGTTGAAGAGTGCTCTCAATGTATGCAACTGAGGGGATGTCCAAGATGGCGATGCCCTGACCGGGCCTATCAGCGCCCATGACCTGATCTGGGGTGATCATCTCGCCCTCCGCGTTCGGTACCGATATGCCATTGGTGAGCTTTCCGAAATCCGGTCCTGGTTTGACACCTAGCGCTTTCGCGCGTGCGACGTCGAACTGACCACGAGCTGAATGCGACCGCACGATGTACGAAACACACTCTGGTGCTGGCCTAGTCGGTGGTAGCGCTAGAATCATAGCGCCAGGCCACGGCGTCCGGGTCCAGACTTTAATGTCAGGAAGAGGCTCTTTGCCCCCTGGCTTTGGACCTTGGTAGGTCGAGAATCCCTGTGTGTCGGGGTTACGAACGAACATGGCAGCAGGCATTTGTACCTCAGAAATGTGGCGTTCTGCCAGTGTATCCATCTTCCAATTCGAATCAAACATGTACTTGATGGTCGCTGTTCGTATCCGGTCGTACCTCAACTCGCGGTCTTCCGGGCTCTCATTTTCGGGAGCCTGGAGTCCGTCAAATGTATTCTCGTGTTCATCGAAATACCGTCGCCGCGCCTCCAAATCAGCCTCCGCTTGCGCATCGACTTCAGAGTTGGCAGGCGCTACTGAGAGAGCCCAAACTTTGATATTGTCGTCCTCCCACGTCGGAACTATAGCACCATTGGCGTCCTTCTCGGGTGACTGCTTCACGTACTCGGTCGCATTGATGGGTATGCCCTTCCTGAATATGAACCTCCGACACGTTGCCAGTGTATGTTTCAGATTCGGTGGTCCGTATATGTCGAAGTGCGGCTTTGCGGGTGCTTCGCCTTTCTTTCCCCGCTCTTGGGCCAGACGAAAGGTATCCATGGCGGTGGTGTAAGAGCTGGTGGTCGAGTCGGCCAATGTGAGCATCATGCCAATCAATCCACCCATGTTCTTCCACTCTGTCCTGCCTGTCATGAAGAAATCTTGCGCCTTCAGCAGACGTGTGCCCTGCTGCACCATCGCCCGCTGGGTGCCCTCTGCCAGGTTGCCGAAAACATAGTGCTTGCTTGCCGTCCGCAGCACGAGCGTTGTTCCCGGCGTATCGGCCGTAGGCGTTGTGACGACCTCAACGCTGCACGACATGTCTTTTGTTCTCAAGAACTCGGTTCTATTGAACTCCGCAGGAGGCTTTGTATGTTTGTTCTTGGGCTCGAAGAGTTCAGGATTCGGCGGTTGCGTAAGGTAGCATGAGGCTGATCCGATTGGAGCTTTGGGGGGCTGATATATCAGACGTGTGAGTACCTTCGCTTCTGCTAGGTGATTCGCCTTGCCGCTTTTCGTGTGTTTAGATGCAACTGGTTCAGGATCGAGGGGTAAGCGGTAGATCTTCGAATACGTTCGAATGGAGGGGCGAAACCGAGGAGTAGCTCTGGAGCGGAGAGTAAAGGCAGCGAAATTCGTATGGGCTATGGGCCGACCGTATCGTGGGCGCAATGCGAAGAATGGGACATGAATCGTAATGGTCGTAGCTCGCTCCGTGGCGCTAATTAAGGAAGCCAACTTGACGAAGGGAAGGAATGACACGAGAAGCAACTATGTACAACCCTGGAAGCATCGGGGTGAGAGAGCGCGTGCAACGAGTCGAAATGATGCGCGTCACTTTTCGCGATGCGTCAACGATCAAGGCTAGATTTAGGCGAAGTAGAGGCCCGTGCGAACTAAACCCGAGCGGACTTGTTCCGCGACACACTAACTTTCTGTTCATCACTCCATCTTGATCAAGACGCTGTTCTTATCGGGTATCGTTATTCGTCTGAACTATACTAATTTTTGTTCCTCATGTTGAATCTTCGTGCGCCTCAAACACTCATCGCTTGACACATCCTAGGCATTCTTCTTCCGGAGTGCTCCACCATCAACAGTAATGTCCTGACCAGTCACAAAGCCCGCCTCGATGAGGTACAACGCAGCATCAGCGATGTCCTTCGGTCTTCCAGCCCTGTTGGTCGGGTGATCAGAGACGTCCTTCTCACTAATCTGGCCTGCCCAGTCTGCCCCGTTCTCGTCGCCCTCTTTGCTCTCGTGTGCGACCTTGATGCGTCCGGGAGCGATAAGGTTGACTCGAATGCCCAGGCTACCCAGGCTGATTGCCATGGAGTGCATCAAACCAAGTTGACCTGACTTGCTTGAAGCATAGCCCTCTTGGTTCGGATCAGACTGATGCGCACGGAAGGAGCCGATGTGAATGATGCATGGGCCTGCAGGACTGGAGTTGTTGGCGTTCTGGATGTGTGCACCGTGTTCAACATCAGATGCTCGGGCTTTCATGTAGGGTATACAAGCTTGGGACATGGCGAAGGGACCAGTAAGGTTGGTGTCGATGTACGCTTTCCATTCATCAATGGTCGAGAGGTCCTCCATGGTCTTACCATCTTTCCACTGTGGAGATGCGATACCGCCGTTGTTGATCAACACATCAATGCGGTCGTTGAAGAACTTGGCTGCCTCTTTGACTTTGGCACGGATGTCCTCGACGTCACGAAGGTCGCAGATCGCCGAACCCAGCCTACCGTCGGCGTAGTACTGCTTGAGGTGGACCTTGGTGGTGTGCTCGAGCTCTTCCTCATCGATGTCGAAGATGTAGGCGTGGTGGCCAGCTTCGAGCATCATCCGAGTCAATGCTCGACCGATGCCTCGTGCACCACCTGAAATGATGATGTTCTTGTATAGCGCGGGTGCTGGTGCTTGGCCTGCCATCTTGAGGGTCTTGAAATATGGAGTTGGTATTGTTTGGTATGGAGACGTGTTCGCGGGGTGTGAACTTCGCGTAGGTGTTGTTTGTTTAAGTACGTTGCTCTGACGTCACGCCTCAACACATCGTTTATCGCCACGACGTGTGCTGCACGAGATCTTGAAATCGGAAATCTTTACGAGGATCTCATTTTTGCGGGTCTTACCCTCACTAAAAGCTGTAGGCCAAAGACTTACATCGTGTTGTGTTCTACAGTCTGTTAAGGGAAGACAGTTTACCTTCCAAATGTATCAGGACTAGAGTATAAATTAACCATAAACCAGACCTTTTAAGTACGATGATCGAAATCAGTTCGCAAGAAACGTGATATAATGTTACCAGTGCTTGATACTATCACATTCTCGTGAAATCTGGGGCCACCTTAGCTATTCATACATCGAGTGAAGAGAAGCTCAGTATTTTGAGCATACGGCCACCTCATACAAGTAAGAACCTGAGCAGATGCGCGGACTGCACTTTGATAGGCCAGATTAGATATAAGGTAGATAAAGATCCGGCGTGAACGTAGACTCTAGAGTGTTCAGTGTTTTTTGTGTATGAGACGCGGCATGATGAATGAACCAGAGCCACCCCCATAGTACCTTTCTGGTGCAACCGCTCCTTCCCAGTCTGTCAACACAGTCGGAGAGGTGAGAGTGAGTGATGAGAAGGTAGCTACTGCCTCAGTCCAACGACACCGCTTGGTAACGAGCCCACGTGGCAGAAGATCGGTACCTTCCCATCTGAACCAGAACTGGGCAACGCACTCACCCATAAATAATTTATTTGCATACACACGCCCCATCAACTCTACGCAAACCACCACCAAGAATACGTCTGCAACATGGTTACCTCTACAGCCGCCGACTCTCAGTGCATCCACGTCATGGTCGCCGACCACATTCTCAGGTTTATGGCTGGTCTCGGTATCTATGCCTTTCTCGCCGTCGACGCCTTCTTCAACATGACCGGCGAGAACAAGTACCCAGCAGTGTTGGCGTGGCTAGTCCTCATTCCGGTACGTACATCTGAAGATCAGGTTCTGTAGCAATGATCGGTTTTAATACTTTTTCAGGTCTGTCTGTTTATCCTCACATGCACTGTCAGCGACCACGTAAACGCGATCTCCAAGAAGTATAAACTCAACGATGTCATCGTCACCGGGCTTCAATACATGCTCGGTTGCATCCACCTACTGGTATTTATATCGATGTGTGCGGCGCTTCGATTAGCAATCCCGACAGGCTACCTACTGGTCTGGTCTTCCTTCTTTCTGCTACCGGTAAGTCCTGTTGGTAGAACGTGTGTTACCATTCTGACTCTTTGTAGGCCTGTGGCTTCCTCTTTGCCGTCGCCATCGAGTCTGCGTTCGGAAACTGACGAATGGAATATCCCTGGCTGTGTATTGAGATGAGGAAGGGGCGACTTCAAACGGATATGCGCAAACTTTTGAAAGATGGCAAGGCGGGGAAAGGAAAGCAAGAATCGACAAACATTTGATGGAGAGAATCATGTCACCATAGTACACCTCTGAGTGAACGTAAAAATCGCATCCATAGATCTTTTATCAAAACACGACAACCAAATCCCTCCTGACGCCAGTGAACACCGAGTTCCGTCAAAGTACAGGTATATGACCACATGCATGCAATCGTTTGAAATCAGAAAAGCGCCGTCAGCCCATTGTAGCTCAACATTCCGTCTATTGCGAACGCTGGTAAACACCGACAACCATGGCGTGGTCACGCTCGAAGGGCTCAAGGGTGAGCTGCTCCTTGGGCTTGATGCCCATCTCTCGTAGCTTGTTGACTTCCTGTGCGAAGACGGCCTCGGGGGCAGCGGTGGAGTCGATACAGTTGGCCTTGATGGAGATGACGATACCACCTCCGACCTTGAGGAAGAGTCCGGCGTTGAGACCGACGATACGGGCTTGATCGGGCTGGGCAACGTCGGCGAAAATGCAGTCGACCATGCCGACGAGCATGCGGTACTTGAGAGGGTGACGGGCTGCGAATTGTTAGCGAATGTCAGAAAGATGGAACGCGAAGTACATACCATCCTCAACGATGGGGATGACGTTGGTGCGGTGGGTAGCCATGTTGATCAGATCACGGCCGGAGCGGTGGGAGAACTCAACAGCGAAGACGGTTCCCTCAGGTCCAACGATATCAGCAACGTGGGAGACTGATGTTCCGGAAGCGGCACCGAGGTACAGGACCTTGGAGCCAGGGCCCATGTAGATGTTGTCGACACCACCCAAGATACCAGCGGCCAACTTGGAGCGGAAGGGGTTCCAGACACGGTATTCTGTGCTGGAGGGGGCTTCGGTCTCGCCGTCCTTGGGCGCGGTGCTGGCACCAACGCTGATGCGCTTTTCGCCGTAGACAGACTCGCCGGGGGTCAAGTTCTTGGTAACGAGGAGATCCTCCTTTCCGCGAGCGACGAAAACACCGGCGTGACGATGGCTAGAGAGGTGGTTAGTAGCTGTCTTGGGCGCTTTCGAGTCGTCTTAACTTACGGCTCAACAATGACCTTGGCTCCTCCGCGCGCTCCTCCACGGGCACCTCCTCGGGGCGCACCACGGCCTCTTGGGGCTCCGCGACCACGAGGAGCACCACCACGGCCGCCACGGTCACCACCGCCGCGACCTCCGCCGAAGCCACCACGTCCACCCCTGGGGGTGAAGCCACCGCGACCGCCACGGTCACCACCAAATCCACCACGTCCGCCGCCGCCACGACCGCCTCTGTGAGAAGTTAGAACTGCGCTGCAGATAAATGTTCGTATATGAGTACGAAGAAGCTCGTAGTTCCTGGATTGTTCTAAAAACAGCTCAGAAAGAACAAGCTTCTCCGTAGCGTGGAGCGCGCATGCTGAGCGAGCAGACGTCGAGATATGTAGTATCTGCAATCACATCTTGCTCAACGTGCCGCGGTTCGCGCATTGTTCATATTGCGATGGGATTTCGAGGCTTGCGGAAGTCGTACCTGGGAGTGAAAGCCATTGCTGAAAGTTGTCGGGATAGTTCGAGTAGGTTATGGAATGCGAAAGCTACTGCGCGAGGTTAGTCTTGAGATGGCAGAGTACAAATATAAGTCCATGTACCTCTGGGTGCTCTGTTCCACTATATGCGCGTTGACTGTGCGCGTTGAAGTGGCTGTGGGTACGGTATGTCGCGGTAGATGCGATGGGTGCAGCTTTGAAGTTCGCAGAGCTACATTTTTTCAAAAGTAGCGCCAAATCTGCGCAGCCAATCACGTGCGGGAGGCGCAAGCGGCCCGCTATAATGCCGTGGGCGCGACTTTGGCTTTTTTCGGTTGGGTCTGCGACTTAGTCATCAAGGCCACTTTCGCTCGAGAAGTCGTCGAAATTACCTACCACGTCGGCAGTCCACTACTAACAACAGCACAACTCGACAAAATGGTACGTTGCCCGTCGCGATATACTGTCGGACCTTGCACGCACGAACATGGAATTAATTCTTGCAGGTTCGCTACGGTGCCTCCTCCATTGACGGCGCAAAGTCTGCTCGCGCCCGCGGCAGCTACCTCCGCGTATCCTTCAAGAACACCCGCGAGACCGCCCAGGCTGTCAACGGCTGGAAGCTCGACCGCGCCCTTACCTACCTCGGAAATGTCCTGGAGCACAAGGAGGCTATCCCCATGAGGCGGTACGCCGGCAGCACTGGACGCACTGCTCAGGGTGAGTAGCCCTTCCCACGATTCGCACAATGCGCAGATGGAACTTGGCACGGGAGGAGGAGCCATCGGGCGTTGGAGATGGAATTATGTTGGCAATTGCAGGAATACGGGCTGACTTCCGCAGGCAAGGCTTTCGGTGTCTCCAAGGCCCGCTGGCCCGTCAAGTCCGCTGAGATCCTCATCGGTCTCCTCAAGAACGCCGAGGCCAACGCCGACACCAAGGGTCTTGACACCAGCAACCTGATCATCAAGCACATCCAGGTCAACCAGGCCCCCAAGCAGCGAAGGCGCACTTACCGTGCTCACGGACGTGTATGTATACACCGGCCTACAGTCGCACTCCCCTCTAACATACCTAGATCAACCCGTACATGAGCAACCCCTCCCACATCGAGCTCATCCTCACCGAGGCCGCCGAAGTTGTCCAGAAGTCCCCCCAGACCCTCGAGCGCCGCATGAACTCCAGGCAGCGTGGCCGCGCCGTCCGCAAGGCCATCACTGCTTCTGAGGAGTAGAGGAAGCAGGGGAAGTTGATGTTCCGGCGAAGAAAACGGTCAAGGCATGGGCACGGTTTGGGAGTCAATGAGCGATGAATATTCAGGGTCTTTCCACACTCGTCATGTATTCATGATATGGCACTTCGATTTCTGCGGTGTCTGGTCCGTAAAAATAAATAGGGCCAAGGCCTGTTCCCAAATGTTTAAAGCCGAGACTTCCAAGTCGCAAGTTCACGATGTTCGCCAGTGTATTTGATTCCTCTACGATGACAGGACGCTGGATGATTCCAGCAGTACATCTCTCCCAAGGTCCGGCCGCAGCCATCGACATGCTATTTCTTACAATGGAGCCAGTCTTCTACGCGTGCTCAGAACGAGCTCTGAAGGAATGCGCTGCTTGTTTACATTCTCGTAAGTACGACCAGGAATTTCAGGAATGTTACTAGAGTGAATTTGCGGTACGATGTACAGCAACATGGGCTGCTTTGACCAACTATGAACGCATGTTCGAATTGGCCTCCACATGCATCGATAGACCCTGAGATTCTAAGATTTCCCGTCGTGTGCCTGGGGCTGACTGCAGGCTGCGCTAGTCGCAATAAGCGTTAGCGTACTATGGAACTTTGGCAGCTCGAACCCAGAATACCAGCTAAGCAAGGCCCAACGGCCAGCTAAGCATGCATGCCGCTAATATCTGAGATGAGGCTGGCTGCAAATCCCACATCATTTCCTTCGAGTCAGTTGCGGTCAGATACGATCTCTTGCCTTGCTGCAATTGCTCCGAGCCAACTTTCCCACGATCGATGACGCAGGCCCAGCAAGCCCAGGCATGGGCATGTACCTCGCCACAAAATGTGTCGAAAGATAAGTAGTCATGTATAGACTGGGATCTATCCGCTGTCAAACGTCCTTTTACACAGATCTCTTTCTTTACTGGTAACGGCAGTCGTTCTTACGTGCATCGCTGCATACCAGTCTTCACCTCGCACCTACTACACAACCATGGCTCGGCTACACCAATCCACTCGCCACAGGCGGCAAACCCCATACCTCGCCTCTCTCTACGCACTCTTCGCTACCGCCGCATATGCGCAAGACTCAAAACGAGGTTTCGCATTCATTGGCGACTCACACGTACCGGACAATCGGCTACTTACTTCCGACAACTCACCACTGGCATGGTACTACAACTGGTCACCATACCCGAACAGCGACCTCATTCCCGCGGATAGCCTAGAGTTCGTGCCTATGATTCACGGCATAGATGCAACGGAAGACGATAATACCGAACGTGTCATTGCAGGCTTGCCCCAAAGTAGCAAGCACCTTCTCTCCTTCAACGAACCAGACGGCACCGAGGGAAGCGGCGGTAGCAGTATCAAGCCTGAAGATGCTGCGAAAGCGTATATCGACTTCGTTGTGCCATTTCGGAATGGCGACAAAGGTGGCAGGAACTGGTTGATCAGCCATCCCAGTACGACGGGTAGTCCAAATGGTCTTGACTGGTTACGGAAATTCAACGAGTCTTGCTACGACATTGACTCCGAAAACGGCTGCCCGGCGGATTTCGTTGCTGTACATTGGTACGGCGCATTTGATGGTCTTGCAGGCTGGCTAGGCACCTTGGATGAGTTCTACAACACGAATTCGACCAGGGATCAGCCGTTGAAGCTTTGGATCACCGAGATGGCGCTCCCGCAACAAGATGAGGAGAATACAGTGGGCATGATGAACCGGACACTGCCGTATCTCGATCAGCTGGACTACGTTGAACGATACTCGTGGTTCGGTGCTTTCAGGACAGATGATGCCAACGAGTGGACGGGCGATGGCGTCGCGCTGTTTGATGATGATGGCGGTCTGACCCAGCTTGGTGCTCTGTACTTGGGTAATGGATTTGAGGAGGGACAGAAGGGTGAGGGTGCTGAAGAGGATGCGGCGAGTGGGCTGAGGGTCAGTGCTGGACTGATGGCTGCATTGTCGTTGTGCGCGGCCGCGTTCACGATGCTTTGAACGATGCATATGATACATTTCCTTTATACTGTAGATACCTTAGCGAATCGTATATATCAGCGATAACATGTAGTAATGATTTTAACTCAAATGTTTTGATGCCATGTTGTTGTGCGCCTTTTAGCGCAGCTACCAAATATCCGGTCGGATCCGGCAAAGTTCACGAAAC